AGCACGGCCACATGACTTCACGTCACCACCGCTAAGCTAACGGCTAATGTTGGGATATAAAGGAACTACAGCACGGTCACATGACTTCACGTCACCACCGCTAAGCTAAAGGTGGCTAATGTTGGGCTATAAAGGAACTACAGCACGGTCACATGACTTCAAGTCACCACCGCTAAGCTAAATGCGGCTAATGTTGGGCTATAAAGGAACTACAGCACGGTCACATGACTTCACGTCACCACCGCTAAGCTAAAGGTGGCTAATGTTGGGCTCTAAAGGAACTACAGCACGGTCACATGACTTCACATCACCACCGCTAAGCTAAAGGCGGCTAATGTTCGACGTGATTATGTTTTAGTCTAATTTCAGCACTCGTTAGCAACTGCCGGTTTTATGACAAGCTTCAGACATTCACGAGTGGGGTATTTACTGACATAGTTTAAAATCTCTTCAGCTTTGTTTTAACCACAGCCTTTATTTTAGGCATCTGACCAACAACACGTTTAAAAACCATTTCCTTTGAGAAAAGAGAACTAGAAGTGGAGAATTCTTAACTTATTTCTGGATTCCAGGACTTGTTGGTTCACCACTCTTTTCAGAACATGTGAAACCAGCTCTCTGTCAATAAGTGGACAAGTTGAACCTGCCCAGTCAGAGTGGATTAGCAGTAATTGAACAGTGCCGTAGGTGCAGCCTGCGGTACGTATTTATACATATCTTCAGAAAGACAGATGCTTTACCGATGAGCTTCCCAACTGGCAGCATTTCAGCTTTTTCGAATGTCTGGAGATATTTTCCTCTAGCGTTGTGTTTTTTTTCCAAAGAACACAGAGCATACAAGCTGAAGTGAGGATGTCAGGACAGCTTAATGTGTCAGCTCCAGTTTCAGCATCCTACTTGGCAGCTGACCTGATTCAGATAACATGGGTGAGCCTAGCAGGCATTGCTAAGTTGCTAATGTTCCCCTTTGGCCCCATGTAGAGATAAGTGCTGTATACAGGCAACACAAGCCTCATTTATAGTGCTTTCATGGACAACAAAGTCAGCTTTTAGAAGGAATATCAGAACTTGTGTGTATTTGTTAAGGAGTTTATTAATAACAAAATAACAAAATGGAATGCAAGCAGCCTGGAGCAAAAAGAAAGGCCAAAAGGGCGCAGGTTTAAATGAGCAACCAACAAAGGAAGGACTCTAATAAGAGAGCCTAATTAAATGCAAAAGGATACTAACAAACAAAAATAGCAACAAAACAACCCTCACTATCAAAGTGGTACAAGCTAACAAAAGGAGGCTGTAGGAAAACACAGCTATGATAGAGGACAACAGTCAACGTAACTAAGCTACTCTAGACACATCTAATCACAACAACACTAAACCAATTAGAGTGCCACAGTGACGCGTCCTAAAACCCGGAAGTAAACTCCTTCCGGTTCCTTCGACAAAAACCAATGCAATGAAGAGACAGATCACGTTTTGTTCAGCTGGATAATATCCATATGTCTACTAGGGCTGTACCCGAATATCCGAATATTCGTTGGTTGGAGTACTATTCGGGTTTCAATTTCGTTATTCGGATATTCGTTTTGTTTGTTTTTTTGTTTTTTGCCCGTTTTTTTTTTTATGAAATTCATAAAAAAAAAAACGGGCAAAAAACAAAAAAACAAACAAAACGAATATCCGAATAACGAAATTGAAACCCGAATAGTACTCCAACCAACGAATATTNGCCTTAAGTGTAATTTGGCTTGGCTTCCTATTTATGGACATGCTTTTATTTTGAAGGAGAGTTAGCGCAGTTGACAGGAAGTTGTTGTTGCTATGGAAACAACGTGACAGAGATTAACGGAGAAAAGTAATATCTACATATAAAGACGAAGAAAGTAAACGATAACGTTTATGGTTAAGTGTTAGCACCCCCTGAAGCTCTTAGGTTGATATTGGAGATTTCAATAAATTCAATTTGAAAAACAAACGGGAAAAAAACAAACAAAACGAATATCCGAATAACGAAATTGAAACCTGAATAGTACTCCAACGAACGAATATTCGGATATTCGGGTACAGCCAGTGGTTTCTACAGTACAGCCCTACTGTGCTGCAGCACCTATTTTCACTCTCTGTCTGAAACCAGAGCCCAGTNATGTCCATAAATAGGAAGCCAAGCCAAATTACACTTAAGGCATATACAACTGCAACGAAAGTAACAAACACAATGCGATATCATTTTCAATTTCAAAGAACACAAATTGGGTTACATTAACAAATAACTATAAAACAACAATTCTGTAGAATAACAAAATGAATGTCGTGAATACACCGAAATACACGTGTTGAAGCGGTTCGCTGCTGATTACTACGCGGCCCCCCCCCCCC